TAAAATATCGACTTATGACGTGAAATATTTAAAAATAATATATTTTTACCATAATATATCACACGAAAAAAATTATATTTAGTTTTAGTTAATTCGTCCAAATACTTAGAATTATTAAATAATATTATTTAATTTAAAGCATTTTTTTTCAAGTCACAAAAAATTAAAAAAAAAAAAAAAAAGAAAAGCGCAATCATAAAAACACCTCAAAGACATTCGATCGAACGAGATATTGAACATCACGTTGTTACAGCAACTCATTACATTGATACATACGATAATTAATTATTCCATCACTACGCTTACTATATATTTTTGATCAGAATAGTTACTATTGTTTTATGTTATTCGTTAGTTTTGAATACTAAGACTGTGAATGAGTGATAGAATCTTTTGATACGAGTGGTCTTTGTTTCGATTTGTCGTTAACATTTCTGTGAATTTCGGAAATGTTAAGATGTGGATAATCGAGAATACTGAAATACTTCAGATGTAGATTGTACAACTGGAGTGATTGGTAAATGATACACGGGTTATTCGCTTATAGCCGTCATTTATCTAGTGTGGATAGCATGAAAAACCCAAAATACGAATAACTACTTGATCGAAAACGAGCTTATAGTGATTTTAAATTGTCGGCTCGATCGTTACCGAAAACATTGATCGTTATTAATTATTAGACGGACCAAATAATATTCAAACATCACACGAATTTACTATAAAGCGTTGTTTAGCAAATCATTCATGTATAAACTATTTACGTTCGTTTCCATTACCTACGAAAAAATAATAACAACCTACGTTTTTATAATAATAATTACTGTACTTGCATAAAAATCCGTGAATTTTGCAAATTATATGGATAAAATTGGAAATAGTAATTTTTCGTTACCCACAATTATTAAAGTATTCACATATTGTATTTACTCATATGTAAACCTTTTGTAAATATATAAACTATAGTTTATATCACGGTACGGTATGGGTCGTTGATATTTTTTCCTATAGCATTTATTAGATTACCTCACGTTTATAGAACCCGATGACGTTTTTATAGTTAACTATATTGATGAACTAAATTTTATTTGAATGTTTTTCCGACATTATCTAGTAAACTTTTTCAATCAAAAATGTCTTATCTGTTAAAATTTAATAAAGCTGTCTGGTTTTCGGAAAAACCACTTTATCAAAACTCGAAAATCAAAGTCGACGATAATTTATTATCAATTAGATTGTTTATCAATTCTGAATATTAGTATTATACGTTTGGAGTGGATTTTAAGTTGATTAAATCTATACAATAAACTGTAATATAATGATATGACATTTGATTTTATATCAATCACAATACTGAAATCAACAAATTTAAAATGATTGACTCTGGTAACTCAATTATAAAATAAACTTTAGTACATACATTTAATCAAGATTAAAACAGGAGGTTAGAATAGAAAATTTACTTTACTGTACATTAATATCTTTAGTTACAATAGATTTTTAGTTTTTAATATTATTTTATTGAATTATTAGATGCATTAATCACATTATAAAACGTTCTAATCTTAAATAATTTTGTACTGTTTACGTTTATACAGAATTATTTTTTTCTTTATTGTGTGTTTTGTTCAAAAATATCTTATCACTAGGCTTACATTTTTAAATAATGATTTAACTTAAAATGTTGTGCATTTTATTTATTATTGGGCTTACATAAATAATTTTTTACTGATAATATACGTCTAAAATATCCTAATAAAAATTTTTTAAATAGTTGACTTTGAAAAAAAGATTGTTTAAATAACATTTTATTCTCCGTAAGTCAGCGATTTGTGTTAAACTTAAGTATTAACAAGCAGTACATTAAATAAATGATTATTATGTTTAAGTCATCAATATACAATATAAATGATAATTTTTTCTTTTTGTTTAACTTGTCAATATATCAAAATGTCAGTCCTAATTATAAGTATAAATCCTTAGGACTGAACAACGGATTAAAACGAAGACGAAAAAGCGTCGAGAAACCGTCGCCTAGGCGATTTCCCCACTCTCCCGGTCCAGCCGTATACCACGACTTGAGTGGCTATTCCATCATAGACATAGAGTGTACATTCCGAGGGTCATGAACTACGATTCGAGTGTTTTATAATTAAAAGAAGTTTTAACCAAGTAAACGAATATTGCCGGGACGATTGGAAGCAGGGTAAGGGTGGTAGTGCGTTGGGAGTAGTAAAAGGCCAATTGAAACGTTCACGGATCCCCGCGGGTCATAGCCGGCAGCGCTTGCTCTAAATGGTCGTCAAAATAGCTCTCAAAAGCTGTTTTCCGGCCAGTTGACCATCTGAAAATATGGTTAGGTTTGATACAACACGCGGTCACGATTTCTCGGAGTAGAGTTACGCAACGATTTAAAATAAATATTTATAAATCATTACATACCGGGCCACGAGTTAGGTTTGGTTTTGAATTGCGCTTCGAATCGAAATGTACCTTTAATGACGTGGACTGTAGTACTGGAGTATCCGTAGTTATTTAATATTGTTATTAATTTACAGTTAAAACCACGTGTTATTATTATGAATAAGACGTTAAGACGTGCCGGGCGATAAAATTATTTATTTCGCAATATGAGTGAATCTTACTAATATTATATGAACTGTATCATGCGACTTACACAAAATGCATATATTATTATCATTATAATATTATATTATATGTACCTATTAGTGAGAAATTTTACGCTAAAGCGCGTTTCATCGTCTGAACAATATGTAAATTACACAAAATACAAGGCACACATACACACACTCGCGATATATATAATTGCGCAATCAAATTAGATTTACTCGACTGAAATTCAAGCCTCTACGATATAATATACTGTCTCAATAAGTGAACACGCACAAACTGGACTCAGAACTGGTGCAACGCGATTTATTGTTACATATTTGCATAATTAGATATAACAAATTTCACCTAGAATCATGATATATAATATGAATGCATTTTAATGTAGTGGTGTGTTTAGAAACTACTATATCTTATTACTAATAACGAGATTTACATTAATTAAATAAAAAAAAAAAGAAATAATACTTATTCATAACATGTAATCTGTCTATGTAACATATTCGTTATATTTATAGATATTGGCATACCAAGTATGATCACCACACTTTCATTAATCAATTTCTTCAAATTTTGATTTTTAGAATGTTTAAGTGTATCACAGACCTAACAATATTTTGAAATTCTTTTTTTATTGTGATTTATTTAACAAATTGTTTTTAAAAATGCTGATGTATTTAGATCATCAATCAAGAAATTAGTTTTTGAGTTATTTAACTTAATGTACAAATAATTATATGTGATCATACGATTTACAAAATATGATTTTGGGTGATGAAGATGTGAAAATTATTCTTTATGAGCTAAAATATTTATCTGTTATTATTTTTAAGGTCATTAAATAAATAATACATAGGTATATTTTATAATTTATGCACGAAAACTAATAAATATGCATTATTAAATAAAATTATCGAAATAATAGTTAACCTGACGGATATATATTGAATTAACTTCAGAAGTTAAACCCAAAAATTTTATTTTTACTTGATTAAACAGGATAATTAAAATTAAATTAACGAATTAGAAATTAATAGTTAATGTTTATTTGTAGTAGTTCATAGCTATAAGTAAAAAGTTTAATTTTTTCTAAATATTTTATACATTTAGTTGATTTATTATACACACTATAATGTGAATATAGTGAACAATGGCTTATTATAAATAACATTAATTTTGATAAATATTTGTCTCATGTAAATTAATAATAAAATTACTAATTTTAGTGGAGTTAAATTGAAACAAAATTCTTCATCACTACAATATGTTAATTAAATGCTGTTTTACAGTTTTTATGTGACATTGAGCAATATACATGCTGAATATACCATTGTATATATATAATATATGGGTGATTGTTAATTTCACCAATTTTTTTTTTTTTTTTAAATTAAGAACTATGAATATTTACTGACACTTCAGTAAAATTAATATTTGTATTAGAATAAAGCGTATTAATAAATTGTTTCAATAAATAATTTTTATACATCCAAATTTCGTTTTAGCAGGACAGATGTCATATTATTTTTTTTTTTTTTTAATATTCATGACTTTTAAAACACATTTGAACATATTCATACGTCAAAACATTTTAAAATTTAAAATTTAGATGGATTGTACTAGTATACAACAGCACTTATAGGCTTTCGTATTATTCGGAATCATTTCGATTGCCAATATTTATAGGGATTTCTGGTATAGATTTATATAAGTGAAATCAAAATAATATTTAATATTACGCATTTAACATGTATTGAATATTTTTTGAGATAATTATAACTGATATAATTTATAATTGGTCTTTTTTATGATTATTAATCTAATGTACCAGTAAATAACATGATTTAACAATGTCATATTTAACTTTTTTCTTACTAGCTGTTAACAATATGTATCCTCATTAGATTTTTTTTATTAATTGATTTTGTGACTCTTTGTAGTCGAAGTGATATCGTTCGGAAAAAAATCCGTTTTTCACCCATAACTATATCAACATTTTATGCACAATCGTTTTGAAAAGTGAAAACCTACCTGACGCCTATCTCAACGCGTACTTGTGTAATATATAATTTGTGCCGGATTACTGTCACGTTTGGCATGGCTGTTGTTTGTCGTTTGATACCCGCGAGGCTCATTCAAGACCGGTAACCTGGTCCGGTAGTGGTGCGTTTGTGCACTCGTAGTTTTACTTACAGGAAATGTAGTCGAGCGACACTCCTAACTAATGTAGGGCCCGGGGCAACGGAGAACAGTTCCGGTAACCCCTTCAACCGTGCAAGTCGTCTTAGCTAAATCCACCACTTCACCTCATCGCACACGATCCCGTTCGTATCGAGTGCGGTAGATTCTGGCGTATATATACCGGCTCAAATCGCTGAACAGATCACAGTCAACCGCGACCGACCACAGAAGCCACTGACGACAACAACACCGTCACTACACTACACGTTTAAGAATTTCCATCCACACAACATGTCCAGAACAGTGAGTATACCTTTGATCGTTACTTTTATCGGTCCAAGAAACGCATTTATAAATAATAATCATATAATATAAGTGTTAGGTCCGATTGAACGCCGTAAGAATCGCAAAGTCTAGAACATGAAACACGTATACACGTCTCGCATAATCCGTCTTGGCATTCGAAAGTCGTTGTTATTTAAAAAAAAAATTATATTATATTATGTTAAAAAAATATATCATATTCTCATTCTCCTCTATCTTAGTCTCGACCGACTATGATTTTTCTTTTTTTTTCTCTTTTAATCGTAACGATCGTAACACGTCGAGTGTCCATGTGATCCGGACGATTCATAACTGAAAGTCGCTAATGACACAATGTATAACATTTTCGCTATATTATAACGTTTTGACGAGGCGGTGGTTTCCGTTCTTGAAAGTTTCGATTCGAAGACTTTCTCTCCGCCGCCATAACGGCTTAACTTTCCGAGCGAGATAGACATTTAACCGTATATAAATACGATGAAATAACGGTTATAAATTATATAATAATAATTACTATCTCGTTATATTGTGGTTGCGTACAATCGATCGCACGGCGCATTGTCGTCCAGAAAAATTGTCGGCTACGACGTTGTAGCGTTCATCAGACCGGATGGCGTGACATGGAACTCACGTGGATCTCATAACGGCTATTACGGTGAGACGTAAAAACGAGCACCGCCGCCGGCAATCGAATATGTAGCATGATAATATGACTAGGTACTGTCCAAACGCTCAGGCACAGCATTCACCGCCGCCGCCGCTCCGACCGGTTTCTGTTTTAATTTATGTACCTATATATTTTAATTTTTTATTATTTACTTTTACTCTCGTCGCTGTGCATTCTCTCTTACTGTCAATCGCAGTGTTATTAAAAATTAATATTTTATACCTCATACGGAAGTACGGTTAAAGTTGTAATTATTAGTATAAATGCTTACCGTTATGGTTTAAAAAAATAAAAAAAAAAACAGTAGCTTGAAAATTATAATTTTTTATCGACATCAACAATATGTTTTGACATTGTTCTTTTTGACCGTATAGGTTTTCTACCTAGTACGATGACGATTTTTTTTTTTATTATTAGTATTTTATAATCGTGTTACAGTATTGATGCGATCGTATGAATAATATTCGACATTTTGCGTTTTTCAGCTGATCGTTTTCGCGGCTTTTGCCGTGGCCACCGCCTTGGCTGTCTACAAGGAGCCCGGATACCCTTCGACTGCACCTTCCTACTTATCGCATTCAGCACTTTCTTACTCATCGCATTCAGCACCTTCCTATGCATCGCACTCAGCACCTTCCTATTCATCGCACTCAGCACCTTCCTACTCATCGCACTCAGCACCTTCTTACTCATCGCATTCAGCACCCACATACTCACCCTACTCGGCCCCGGCATATCACGCCGCTCCGGCTTACGCATCGTATCCAGCGCCCACTTACCCCGTGGCCCCGGCATATCCGGCTGCTCCAGCCTACCCAGCCGCTCCGACCTACCCGGCTGCTCCAGCCTACCCGGCAGCTCCAGCCTACCCAGCAGCTCCAGCTTACCCGGTAGCTCCAGCCTACCCGGCAGCTCCAGCCTACCCGGCAGCTCCAGCATACCCGGCAGCTCCAGCATACCCGGCTTACCCGTCATATCCTACCGCACCAGCTCACCAAGCCTACCAAGCAGCGCCGGCTTACCACGCCGCGTCCGCTTACAGCAGCAAACCGGCAGCGTACCACTCCGCTTCAGCTTACAACAAACCGGCTCAGTACTCGGCTCCCAATCCGTACGCCGCCGCCGCCGCCGCCTACACATCGTCCCCGTCCCCGTACAACTTCCAATACAGCGTTAACGACGCGCACACCGGCGATGCCAAGAGCCAGAGCGAGTACGCTGACGCCAGCGAATACGTGAAGAGCACCTACAACTTTGCGGACGCGGAAGGAAGCAAGCGCACCGTGGACTACACCGCCGACGACCACAGTGGTTTCAACGCGGAAGTCAAGAAGGACGGCGGATACGTTTCGTCTACATACAAGCCCGACTACTGATGGCCGTCGAAAGTCGCTCAAGTCCCGTTCGACTAACGATATTGTAATACTATAATATTGTAGCGCCGCCGTCACGCGCGTCGCATAATTTCGTCACCATATACCGCATTTCTAGTGCGGTTATCGTCGGCCGTCACCGTAGTCGCGGTTCAAATACCGCGGCGCACAGTTGTGATGGTTCGCACATTATATTATTACAACGCGATACGTTGTCGTCCTCTTACTACCTATTGATGTTGTACCGTTGTAATGATATGTTTTTGTAAATAAACTCCGTATACGTTTAGTAACTAATAAATTCGTTGTTATATTATCATATATATTATTGTTATCATTACTCTCACTGCTGACACTTTCCACTGTAGGTCGTACCTGATCTATTTCATTGTTTCTCGACCGGTGTGTGTCACGAAACAAAAATTATGCTTTGGCTCTATCGTAGTATTTTAAAACGCTCGTTAGTCATAAAAGTTTAAGCGTATCGGCGTTTATATTCGGATTTAAATTTGGGCGTCGTCTTGGAGTACGCCGTTACGTAGAACTACTCGCCTAATCCACAATTCATTCCTCGACGCGATTACTGCCGTGCGGCCAGATTGTATGATATATATATATTTTACAGTGTAGTTCTTTCGTATAAGCTATTAATATTATATACTAATTATATTATCCTAATGTTTTTATCTAAATAAATTGCTCACATCTAGTAATGGAAAAATACGTTGTGGCGGATTTTGTGCTTTATACATAACAGTGCATAGCATTATACCTGACCTAATCCACGTTTCATTCCTTGAAGCGATTATTGTGTGGTTAGTTGTATATTTTACAGCGCGATTCTTCCATGCAGATTTCAGTAAAATATATTAAAAAATATAAAGTATTTAAGTAACGACAAAAATTACAGTCCTAAAGTTAAATATTTATAATTGTCGACACAAGTATATTTTATTATATTTTATTAAATTACCTGTTTTATAATGCTTTTAAAAAGTAGTATATTATGTATATTAGAGATCTTTGTAAGTTTTTTCCGTAGTATTCCACATATAGTTCACGGTAAAACAAGAGGACAATAGGTTTTACCTATTATTATATAAATATATTATAGTAAACAATTTGCATATTATGTACCTATAACTTATCGTTTATACACATCCTTCGTATACGTAGTATACGTAGTAAATGAAAACTGCAATATTGCATTGCGTGTCCGTTATTGGAGTTATTGAGTTCCACGATAGAGTTGTTTTTATTTTATATATTTAAGTGGATGATATTATTTTTTATTTGGTCTGACACTTCGACCATTGTGGGTCAACGATAATCTTCAGAGTAAACCACTACATCGACGGTCATAAAAATAAATCCGTCTGCAGAGCAAACGTATAACATATTATTACATTCACGAGACACCGCGACAAAACACACTTAGACATCAAGATAAATCGTTGTGAAAAAAAAAAAACTACAAATGGAAACTAGAAAACGATAAATGGTTATTTTTTCGATTTTAAATAAAACTTACATCATAACATGAAACTTATTTTGGAACTTTCACGATTATAAAATGAGATACAATTATGTATCCTATAATGTAACATTAGATATAACGGTGGCTGGATAAGTTTATTTATACAAAACCAATTCAACACGTCTTCTCTCCAATCCTCAAACCAACCAACCGGTATCAAAATATGAATTTGTTCTTCAAATTTAGTTGGTGAGCATTTTTTTTTTATTAGTATACCCGTTTTATAATTTTATTAATGTTTTGTGTTTGTTTGTATTAAAATTAAAACTCATTTCGCGTTATGTTTTTTTTGTTTTTCGTACGAAATTCATAAATTTATGTTTGTAATAAAATGAAAATAGTTATTAAATTTTTGTTTTGTTTTAAATTACTGTAAATCACGAAAAGTTAAAATTTTGAAAAAGTATAACGAAACTTGATATGATTTTATAGATAAGGTGTTATATTTACATAAAAAAGTCTTATTTAGTAATTTTACTAACGTTTCTTATAGCAATTCAATAAATAAAAAAAAAAAAAACCATTTAATTTACTTAAGTGATTAAATTGCATGCCTAATTAATGCATGAAGAAAACTCGTTGAAACCGGATAAAATACTTATAATTGCCTGTTTTATAAAAATTAAATTTTTATGAACATATTATAATATATTCACTTTGCAAATATAGGGTATTTATGTTTCTCAGATTCTAATAATTCTCAAACATCGTATATCATTGATTAGAAAAAGGGCGTCGTTACTCTCAGGATAAAGTGCAAACTGCGAACACACGGAAGAAGGATAGAAAATAACCGACAAACGACAACAAATAAAAAAAAAACAAATAATGAAAACATAATAAATTTAGGTACATATATATCTTTTGAAAGTCGAATAGGATTTACGGTCGGCACCCACCGTTGTTCGTATTGTAAATATATTATAACACTACTACGTGCTTATATAATATATTATTCTTTATCGCGGCAGATAAACGCGAGTCGTTCGTGTTTCGTGGCAGTGACACAACACTAATAATATTATAATATCGAAATAATACGTTCTACGTGAGAGCCCCACAGTAGTCGTCCGATTGATTCATCGGATTTGTTGCTAGAGTGTATAATAATACAAAGTTTTATTGTAATATTCACGATTATTTCGATTAGAAGTTAAACATTTGGTTATGTCGACAAATAGCCTTTAGTTATAATTTTACAACGCTGATCGGAATGTTTTTTTTTTTTTTTTTTTTTTTTTTTTTTAACATTTAATAGCGATAAGTAATTTTAATAAAAAAAAAAAAATATATATATATATATACATAAATATCATCACGTAGTAGTGCACTAAGTTGTTTTTTCTAATTTTTTCAAATCATTATTGTTTGAAGTTTATTTTCTTTATTACATAAAAGTAAACTCGAAGTAAACGAAAAATTGGATTCCATTATTTATTGCGCATCCTCGAAATTAATTTATATTTTACACGTGTACCTACACAAAGTATTAATACGAGTATTTTCAAACTTATCTGTAAATACAAAAATAATATTATGACCGATTTTAATACAGACACGATTAGAGTCTGTAATATTTAAATAAGGTATATTTAAATGGTTAAATCGCTATATATTTAATCTGTTTTCATCTATTACTGGACATTATTTAGTACACAAAATATAGCAAAATATGATTTTAAAGACGTCGAGTTATGAATAGTGATATTTTATGAATGTAGAGACTATTATAAAAAAATGAATATTATCGTCACGCACGTATAATATGTTGGTGCACTTAGATGTATTATGCATTATACGCTATTATAGGACCATTTTATTTTGTTAATCGGAGATATGCAAATGTTTAAATTTGTGTTTTTTTGTATGATCCCGGTTTATTTAATTTAAATAATATTTAATTTATAGGTATATCATTGTGAAGTTTATATATTATATGAGTAGGAAGGAAGAATTATACATAATAAAACAGTTAATTAACAGGGTGGTTCACTAATAAAGCTATTCCCAGTTATATTTATCTAACTACTGATTTTTTAAATTATTAAGTTATCTAGTAAATTACCATGCTTTTACCAGATTAGATTTTTATATTATTCAAAGAGTGTCTGTACCTAATGATATAAACTTTTATTATTCAAATAAACAATACTCTATTTCATAGTAAATTAATAAACAAGCGAGGTTTTTTGAAATTTTGATTCACTTAATTGAAATTTGAAAATTGAATAAAAAAATTATAAGATCTAAGGTACATATTTATTCCGCGATAACGTAAATAAAAGGTTAAACGATATAAATATTATTAATTTATTAACATTTTATAAACATTTTATAAGCATAGTAAGTACCTATATTAGAATAAATATTACATATATTTTATGTTTTTGTAAAATAATTTCATGGAATTATTAATAATTTTTCTAAGTTTTAATATTCTAATAATTTTGTAAATTATTATTTTTTTTTTTTTAATGTATTTAGATACAAAACAATTTTCTAAACATTTATCTGCTTTGAAATATGAAAATTTTTGTGTGAAAAATAAAAGTTTATATTGCAATGGAACACTCTTGAAACAGTTTAAAAAATCTAAATATTTGAAAATATGGTCTTTAAGTATACTTGAAAATTTAAAAATCAGAATTTAAACTAATGCATTATTGAAGAAAAAACAGGATGTGAGCATGTATGGTGAATATTCATATATAATAATATTTTAACAATAATATATTATTACGGTAATGTATCTGATTGGTACTTTTTTCGATCGAGAGATTTTAGATTTATTAAACGTATCGAAAACGTACTTTAATATTGCACGGTGTGTACTGTATATAAAATTAGAGGTGTTTTTTTTTTTCTAAAGGTTTACAATTTTGGGTGTACTACACAAAGATAATACGCTGGCATATTTCCAATGTATGTATTGGACGCGTTTTTCAGTAAACCGACAAATACATTTATTCACGTGTTATTAAAAGATTTCATAGAACAAACAGTAGAAACTAATAATGATTAATAGAAATCGTAAAAGAACGTACGTGAGATGAAGAAAATTACGTGAAAATGTAAAGAAAAAAATTTGCTTAACTTTAACTTTACATTGTAATATACGTCATATATATTAACAGTTATACGATTGCGATTTTTACTTGTGCTTTTGACGAAAGATAATATCATTACGATAAACTGTCACGTAAAGTATTTTACCATATTGCTGATGACTTTTGGCTTTTGCATACATATATATGTTTATACTTTGCGGAGTAAAACAATTTAAAACTAATAGGTATGCAACGGACAACGTTACGAGAATTATATGCAACATGTTTTTCAAAGGCGCAATCGTGGTGTGTTCATCTCTGCAAACTGCAAAATGATCACGTTATCATAATTTTTTGAATAACAGTGTCGAAATCCGTAAATTATTGATGTAGGTAATAATTATGATATTATGCTTCTTCACATTCCTTTGCCGTGTTTTTTGTAACTACTTTCTGCGTCCAATATGGATTACGATCTACGGAACTGGGCGCTGAGGTTAAACGTACTCGAGCATATAAATTGTATTGTAACGATAAATTTATATGCATTTTAAATGGATTTTTATAAATAAAATTGTACATTGATTAATGCATATCTCAATGATAAATAAATAAATACAATCTATTTTACATGTTCTTAGTACTTATAATATTATCGATGTACTCTGCTGAGATCTACTACGAGTAATTTAACGTAAGAAATGACATTCAAAAGTCTGTAATCATTTGAGCGATACTGTTTTTGGAGTTTATCGCGTTTTTTATGCTTAAGTATTTTGTGACATTATCTTGATTTTGCATTTTTTGTATGGAAATAATATAAATTATAATTGTACCACAAAAACTTTTAGACCTTAAAAGCGAGTACCTATTGCGTGTGGCTTAATGTCGTAGAAAAGTAAACCGATTAGCTGGGTAAATAAGACTACGAATACAAAGCGCTCATTACCGCCATGACGATATTATGTATTCAGATGTACAAAAACAATTGATGAAAACATTCGAATTGCTTTCTTAGAAATGTTTAATGTTAGTGTACATAATAATAATATTATATACACAATTTTGGATAGTGTCCGCAAACGGTGTTGACCTATTTTGCTAAACAGGCAAGACAGACTGCAGATACTAATTTTCGTCACATTTCCCGGTGCGTACAAATTGTCATAAGGTCCTAGAGAAAGTGGCCGATAAGGCAGATAGAGGCGCACCGGAAAAAAACAATTTACGTTTTATTTATCGTCCAAATAAATAACAACGCCAAATGTGATACTAAAGGCAGAATACCGATTTAATTCAATATAGATGAGACGACAGTTATGTTTTATATAATACAGATTGAATTGTGTTGGTTATTTCGTATGACATTGTCAACGTTCGAAGTCTTTATATTGCTCGTATTAAATTGCTGTCGGTTGTTACCAAGGTAATTTACATAATTATTTCACAATGCTCATGATTATTTTAATAATTATTATGACGATTGTCGTAATTATAAGCGTTTAAACAAACCATCACCTATAATATTATTATAGGGGACACAGGAAAAGCGAGACCGAGGTAGAAATGTAGTTAAATTGCCTATCAGAGACGCCGTGTTCTCACAATATTGTATTCTATTGTAATGCATTGAAAAATATCATAAAATTCATTACGAGGTACCAGAAAATCAGGACAGACTTTAAGACAATGGTAAAGACACATTAAAAGCGCGAGACAATTCCAACTTGGTTGGGTGACATCGAATACTTACGTAACAATCTATCTAAATACGTAACACGGAAGTGAATGCTATTTGCGCTTTGATCCGGTGATTTATTCAAAAAATTAGACTCGGATAAAAACTCTGCCGGTATTAATTGGTCACCGCATACAATATGATACTTACTCACTACGCCACATAATTTAAGTAGAGTTATTAATTTTTAAAAAGTTTTAAACGCACCTGGAACACGAAATCTACGTGCGCGGCCACCGTCGTGCCGTCCTTGAGCCACGGTTCGGCGAATTTGCCCATCAGCTCGTAGATAGCTGTCACGACGCGTGTCATCTCGTCCCGACAAATTTGCCCGTCACCGTCCAGGTCGTATAGCGTGAATGCCCACCGGAGCTTGTCATCCACCGATCCTCGGGACAGCGTCCACAAGCCCTGCACCATGTCCTACAAAAACAAATGTTCAAAGTTAAAACATAGTTTAGTATAAATAGAAATATTTAATCATAAACAAATGTTTAAATTGTTTGTGTAATTAACACACGTGCTTAGAGTTTTGAAAGGATAAATAAATAGCTTGCAGTTATAAAATAATCCAAGTACAGTAGTAGTTTTATAATTTTTAATGAATCGATTGATATATTATTATTATGCGTCATAAGAAATTTATTTAACATGATATTTTAAAAATCATCAAGTTAAAATTCTAACCGAAGTAATCGCGTATGCTGTTTATTCCACGTCTGTATATGACTTATTTCAGTGTTATCTGTATAAGTACTATCCTCATTCTTCGATATTTCCCTTCCGATAGCTAACCGACACGGGTCCTCGTGTTTCTACGGTATACACGTACGTACGATGACAATATTGCTGACTCCACTCAATCGAATGGTATACGACGTTCGTTTCACATCTAAATCCTCTAATATTATGACAAATTGTGTAGCTGTGTTGTATAGTTCAAGTTTATGCGTAGTTGCTCGCGCCTATAGAAATGAGTTTCATTATCCCCATATAAAATGCGTTTTATAATAATATAAAAATATATAAGTCATGATTTGTATTGTTGTCCATCGACTTATACGATTCCATGATGTATATTCATAAGTATACTATACGTACTAAATCCATCCTCTCAATCATATATCATTGTCGTAGATTCGCTTCCCTATTTTGCGTATTAGTAAATGGAAGGCTACATCACCGTTTAGGATAGGTTATTATATGGAATATCAGAGCACTCGCGAAGCATTTGTATTTTCTAAGGCAGTATTACGTGATGGTTGATTTACAAAAGAATAAACATCCTGTGTATTATTTATGTTACAATAATATAATATTCAGACACTACAGTCGATCGATATAGTCGGATTTTATCGTAGCAGTTTTGTGTGTGCATGTTTTATAATAAACGTAAATTTAAAGTAACGTTGTGCAAAGATATGCTAGTCTTTGTAAACATAAGATAAAGACCGGCTTTGTAATGTATTGGATATTTATCTCGCATCGTCTATAAATATATAATATATATATATACATATACATATGACATTAAACATACTGTAAAGGTACATAATACAAACAACAGTATACAATATTATATGCATGATACCCTCGATATACATGATTGACATATAAATGTTTAATATACACATAATATAGTTACGTTTATTTTGAGTTGTACTTATTTAAATCTCGACAAAACATTATTATATATTTATTTGAACGAATTTAATATAGAAATTAATATAAAATTTAATGTTCTCGTTTCGCCGAATACGATAAAATAAGTAATTCTAACCTTACTTAACTGATGACAATTAATTAAAATACTTAACGATACTCCTATAATCATTTATATACGCCATTTTTTTGAAATGATTCGAATCTATCTAAGCGTTTATAAAACACAAATATTTGGTATTTTAAAACTCTACGTGTATTATAGACACAATAAACTATTATTATGGCATTAAGCTACTTTAAGTCTGTATTAGTCAACAAAATAAACATAGCTGTAACCTATTTTTTTATTATCGATATAATAATATGTTGGAATTATTTTAAAAACATGTTATTTGTTATCACTGTAACATAACATAGATCGTGATACGAGTTTTTAAAACTAACTTTCTTATTTTCTTATCTTAAAAAAAAAAATAATAATATAAATATCAATAGTTTCATAAACAAGCTTCATATAATGCGAGCACTGCAGTATCAATTTTTGAGTTTCACAACAAGGAATTTCGAAAAATGAATCAGCTTATAACTTTTGACTCATTTATTTTTATCATTTTAATTAAGTTATGAATAGTATATCATGGGCGGAAAACAAAATGTCAAAATATGACGTTCGTCAAAAACGGGTTACATAATTTAAGCATAAAAAAAAAAAATACTAACATGTTCAGAAGAGTGAATACGTGTATTATAAAAAAATGTACCTACATGTAATGTCAGGTTCATTACCATAAGTGTTTCGGTTCACAAAGCATCGGAAAAGTTTATAATATTAATATCTCAGACAATGACTAACACTCACGGTTTATATAAAATATTGATCAACTTTAGTTATTGTATTGATCACCCTCTTACGATTTAAAATAACTTTAAATGAAGTAGTGCCTAAATGAAATCACTTGGTATTTTTCATATGTCCACCTAAACGTTTTAATCTCGAATGCATACAGTATGTCAATATTTTTTATTATAATACTAATTTCCCATATATACTTATAAACTTAAAACTTAAAACAGGTAAGTACTGATTTGGAATAATAGTTTGAAATGTACAGAAATAATAATTTTTTTTTTTTTTATGAATATCTACAAAAATTTCAATTTTGAATGTCAAAACGGTAGTAATAGTCAAGATGGTGTTTATCTAATAACTGATAGGATTTTAAATCATGTCCAAGTTAATTATCAATGCTTTTAATAAATTGTTTAGTGTATTTTCAACAATTCTCATCGAAAAAATATTAACTAAAAAAAAATATATATCACTATATGAATCAATCCATCTTAGTTTTACCAAAACAGTGATAAAAAAAAGGAAAATACATGAATTATTATTTGTAAGTATTATTATAAAGTTATCTTATATAGTTTATATCGGTATACAATGAAGGGACTCTTATGATATTTATATTACACTATAGAATGGTAGTTTGACAGTACTGCTACTAACTACACTTGAGTACTATTATATTGTTAACAAAATAATAAGCTTTGAGTATTGCAAATTGCAATTATTGTAATATAGATTTATGTGTAAGCAAGGGCCCCAATAAATAAAAAAAAATATTTTTATTGTATACATTTAATTCTGCCATTATTATGTTATATTGGCATAATATTTGTTCTTGGTCAAAATAATTGAAAATATGTACAGAGTAATAACGTAGCCGTTTATTATTTCAGAAAACACTAATATTTTTGAAAATATTTTTTTTCACATAATTTTAGTAAAAATTATGTTTTTTACTATTTTTTTTTTTTTTATAGTCATGATTTTTTGAAAATTTAATATCTCTACTTAGAATCACCTAACAAAAATAAAATAAAAATGTGTAACGAGATCTTAAATTACCATATAACATGACGAGTTTGACTGAGTTTAAAAAAAAAAAAAAAAAACATATACTTTCAATCCATAAAACGATTTGGACTTGAACCCGTAACAGATTGTTGAGTTTCGCCCACCCCGAATTGTTTTCATTCCCTCTGACAATACGCAAAGTGCGTATTTTTATCATAGGACGACTCAACTGGGTCACTTGACCGTGAAAAATGGTTATCTGGCGTTGCGGTGTAAGTGCGATTAATCCACTATATAGTAATTAATATGGTGAATGGTTTGCTGTAACCCTTTTGAACCATACGATGCGATTTATAGTATATATGTTATATGGCTACTTGCTTATAACAAGATATACTCGAATGTAATCTGCACTCGGTCGACAATATTAGTGACTACAATATAATATATTATAATACTAAGTAACGATATTCCGTATATATTGTAAAACAAGGTCTGCCCGGATGTAATTATTATGTAATATACATAAAATACAGGAGGTTAATACCCAGCATTGGTTTAAATAAGTAATTTATTCGAATTCTAATTTCGTGAATTTTCAAATATAGGTATTTATAAGTTATAAGGAATATATTTTTAAACATTTTCTGCAATCATATATTATTAATTAATAAGTGGAATGTAGTGATACCAACACATATTTTTTTCAATTAAGAATTACCACTTTTTCTTGTAAGCTTTTGAGTATTCTTCCAAATATTCACACGAAACATATATCAAATTAAAATTGAAACAAGCAATTTTTGAGTTATTTTACTTAATGCTCTAAGAAAATAAATTCATGATAATAAATTATAGAATATATGGAGCGATGATAATTCTAAAAGTATAGTAATTAATATAATTGATATTATTAATCGATTATTCTTGGAATACACATTTTAATAACTCAGAATTCACTCGTTTAAATATCGCTTTAGATATCTTATAAAAAGGCTAATAAAATATTTTTTTCAATTTATTGTAAAAAGAAAAGTTATTATTTGAAAAAAATCGTTGATCACGTCAGCATTGAACTATCCTTAAATTGTTTTTAAATATCTAAATATTTGAAAATATTGTTCTCAATTAGAATTAAAAATTCTAAAAATCAATTAATAAAAATCAAAAAACGTGTGGAAAAATAAAGGTTGTGCACGATTAGCGAAACCTTCTGTGTTACACAGTTACCGCTTCTATTTTATGGAAAGTTCTCTCAATTTTTGACACTACCGTTAATGGATAGTTACATATAGTATTCACTTAGACGACAGTTTTTAAAACGATAATTTATTATTCATTTATAAATATATTATACAGCTTTTTGTTAGTATACAACAAGCAATAGTGAATTTTCTGTTCAATTAACAATCAATTCTTTATTTTATCGATTTCGCCTGTTGGATATTTCGCAAATAGTATTTTTACGCATGTATTAAAGTCGCATGCTATCATCATAACGTAATAACTATGATAATTTTTTTCGATAAGCATATCGAACTTTTATCTTATTTTTTTCTTATTCAATTCATCGGAATACCGTAAATAATAATAATATGTACTCCGCATATTATGTCAAAAATCTATTTGATTTTATGACAGAGAATTTATTTGATTGTTCTCCGACAATTTTGATATCTTATTAAATGCTAAACGACTAAAAAATATATATTTAATTAATGTTACGCTTTGGAATGAACAACTACGCTATCGCTGCATTGATTTTAACAGCTTTTATAACACAGAGAACACTGGCTTATATTTTAAAAAAAACGAGTTGTATTTAACTGAATTAAGTTGGTTTTCATTTCATTTTAGTTCTATTACTAAGCTAAGTTAGTTAGTATTTTCATTATTTTAT